TGTATCGACATGTCGATAGTTTTGATTCGATGTATCGATATTTTTGGCGATATATTTTATTTCGATATACCGATATAAAATATCAAGTATCGAAAATGATATATTTTCAGAGGCAACACCGTTGTAGCCACTAACTTAACCGCTGGAATTCAGGTAATCCATTAAAATTTTGGACTGACAGACGGCATCTCAGCAAAGTCCTTTCAGAAAGAGCGCTTAAGTATTCGGTACCTACTGCATCCTCAGTTTCATCAGAGAGAGTTGTTAAGTTTAGCGTACCCAATAACAGAAACGACTTTCAGCAGAGCACATCAAACTTGAAAGTTTTTCTTTCGTTTCTTACGGATACGAATATATATTGTGTATATATAATATATATAGTGGTTTGCATAAGTGCATTTAATTGTATTATATTTCGTTCAATTATAAAACATATTTTTATCAATGTTTTGTTTATAGATATTTGATTTGACATTACTGTTATTTGAGTTATAAGATGATTCTAGTTTGATTTTTATATGGATAGTAATACTGACGGATTTATTTAACTAGACTATTAAATACAAACACAATAGAAATTTATAAAGTACAAACATTTTTTGGAAAATTTCGCCGATATATCGATATTTTTTTCGATATATTGAAATCGATATCAATATTCTCTTAAAATTTTATTTTTCAAAGAGTAGCCAAATTTTAAACTTAAGTTCAAATATATAAATAATGATATAACGTTATTGTATTTTTTGAAATAAATACCCCCCCTCCCCCATGATTAGAGCAACAAAGAGACGGCCCGCAGTCTCCCGCTATTTCTGGCTACGGTGGCGACCATGGTAACGGCAGGGCAGAGGGTGCTAAGAATTTCCGGTGGAGGTTCGGTTGCCACCTAAGACGACTCGACCTGGCAACATACAACATACGCACCCTGAGGACTGACGAGAAGATCGTGGAGCTGGAAGAAGAGATAGACAAGTTACGCTGGCATATTATAGGTTTATCCGAGGTCCGAAGAGAGGGGGAGGACACGGTAATCCTCAAATCCGGCAACTTGCTCTATCACCGGGAGGGCGACCATCTGTCCCAAGGAAGTGTCGGATTTATCGTCCACATCTCTCTCGTTAACAACGTTGTGAGAATTGAGTGTGTCGACGAGGGTTGAGTACCTTATACTCAGAATCACCAAACGGTATTCGCTGAAGGTCATACAGGTTTACGCACCAACCCCGGCACATCCCGATGAGGAGGTGGAGGAAATGTATGAGGATGTTTCTAGAGCCATGCAATCCTCCAAAACCCACTATACGGTGTTAATGGGAGACTTCAATGCAAAACTAGGCACAAGAGAGAACGGTGAGCTGAAATTAGGGAAATTTGGAATAGGGCAACGGAACCCAAGGGGCCACCAGCTGGCCGACATCATGGAGAAAGAGGGACTCTTTATGATTAACTCTTTCTTCCAGAAGCAGCCCCACAGGAAGAGGACCTGGTCGAGCCCCGACGGTTCAACAAAAAATGAGATTGACTTCATTATGACGACCAGACGACAACTGTTCAGTGATGTCTCTGTGATCGCGAGGGTGAAAACTGGTAGTGATTACCGAATGGTTAGAGGAACACTGAACCTAAATGTTAAGTTGGAGAGGTCTCGTCTAATGAAGTCAACGCGCCGTCCCCCTCGTGCTCTGTTCCAAAGTCCCGAAACCTTTCAGCTCGAGTTACATAACCGTTTTCAGTGCCTAGAAGACTGCAATGAAGTGGACGATATGAATGACAAGCTCGTGGAAACTGTCCATGCGGTCGGAGCTAAGTTCTGCAAGACCCGCCGCAGAAGAACACAAAAACTCCGATCACACTCGATCTCATGGGTGTTAGACGAGAGATGAAGCTGCAGTCTTCAGTAGATTTGACAGCATGCAGGTAACTGAACAGACAGATCTCCAAATGCATGCGGCGGGACTTGCGCAACTTCAATACAGCTTGTATTAAAGAAGCGTTCGAGCGAAACCAAGGCTCCAAAGTCTTTGCCAGAGATCTGTCTGCCAGAAAGAGCCAACTGTCAAAGCTGAAGACCAAGTGAGGCAGCATCGTTTCCGGGACGCCTGAGATTTTGAGTGAGATTGAGAGGTTCTATGGGCAGCTGTACACGTCATCGTTGGAGCCACACGCAAGCGTGAGTAACGATCCAAGAGCAAGTTTTATCCGACACTATTCCGAATATATCCCGGACGTCAGTCTGAGCGAGATTAGAATGGCTCTCCAGCACCTTAAAAACGGCAAGTCACGGCGGGATGGAATTACAGCGGAGTTTTTGAAAGCGGGTGGAAAACCAGTACTTGAAGTCCTTCAGAAGCTCTTTAGTTCTGTCGTTCATGGTGGCACTACTCCGGAGGCGTGGAACAGAAGTGCGGTGGACTTGTTCTTCAAGAAAGGCGACAACGCTCTCTCGAAGAACTACAGACCGATTTGCCTTCTGAGACGCGTCTATGTGCTGTTTTTGAGAGTCGTTACGAATCGTCTCGCACACAGATTTGACGATTTCCAGCCTCCCGAACAAGCCGACACTGCAGAGAGGTGTGAGATAGGGTGACGTTATATCCCCGAAACTCTTCACCGCTGCATCGAAAGACGTTTTCAAGCTACTGGACTGGAAAGGATACGGTATTAACATCAATGGCGAGTACGTCACTCACTTTCGATTTGCCGCCGATATAGTCCTTATTGCAGAATCGCTGGAGGACCTAAGCACTATGCTCAATGACCTCAATAGTGTCTCCCAACGGATAGGTCTTAAGATGAACATGGACAAAACAAAAATCATGTTTAACGTCCATGTCACACCTATGCCGGTAGTTGTTGGGAGCACTAAGCTCGAAGTTGTTGACAAGTATGTTTAACTGGGACAAATAGTCCGACTAGGTAAGCCCAACTTCAACCGAGAGGTCAATCGATGGATTCAACTCGGCTGGGCAGCGTTCGGGAAACTACGACACATCTTCTCGTTAGACATACCTCAAAACCTGAAAACAAAATTGTATAACCAGTGCTCGTTGCCTGTGATGACTTACGGATATGAGACGTGGTCCTTCACTGCTGGCCGTATGAGGAAGCTGAAGGTCGCTCAGCGAGCTATGGAGAGGGCTATGCTCGGGATGTCTCTGCGTGATAAACTTAGAAATGAGGATATCCGCAGTAGAACCAGAGTAACCGACATAGCCCAACGGATTAGTAAGCTGAAGTGGCTGTGGGCCGGTCATATAACTCAAAGAACCGACAACCGATGGAGAAGAAAGGTTCTCGAGTGGCAGCCTCGTACCGGTAGGCGAAGTGTAGGGCGACCTCCCCACTAGTTGGAGTGACGAACTGGTGAGACATGCAGGAAGTCGATGGATGCAGGTGGCTCAGGACCGTGCTTTGTGGCATTCCTTGGGGGAGGCCCATGTTTAGCAGTGGACTTGTGAAGGGCTGTAATCAACATGATGATGATTTTTTGAAAATACAAGTAAATAAGGCTTCTACTTTTGTTTGAAATTATCCCAAATTGAATGTGATTTATAGGCAACAACGTTTTACCCTTAAGAATATGTGCATGCTCAGTAAAATCAGTAAAAATAATGTATTACTACGCATTTCAAATGTAAAAGATAAAAAGGACAGAATTACTGAGATTTTTTTAATAAATTGTTCTTTGCCATTTGCCTATTGTACTTATTCCGAACCTTCTCTTCAAATTTGGTTGGTTATTGCAAAATAACCCTGTATATTTTCTTAAAATATTTATGCGATACATATATCGATACTTATTGACACTTCCTGCATCCCTATTTGTTTTGCTGGTTTGTTGCACCAATGACAACGATTAGAGTTGTTGTTGTTGTTATTCAATTAAGGCAGGCAAAGGTCAAATAGTATACAGCCTCGTCCGATTATTTTTATATAGAGGCGGGCAAACGAGCATGTGGATGTGGCTAACCTGATGCTTTCTAGGTTTGATATATCTGGTAGTTTATAAAATGTATAGCAAAATCACCCATTGGGCACAGACACCTCTCATACTAAGAGATGGAGCAATGAGGGCTAATTATCTTCCACTCACCAGATGTCACTAGTTGTGACTGAGGTAAAGTTTTTGTTACACAGTGTCACTTAATTGAGAAATTAGTTTTAAATCATAGTTTAGCATTATCTAGAGTATTATAGTAATACACAACACAATGCGTCAGTGGTTTTTAATTTTTTGCACTTTATAACTCTTTTTTTTTACATCGGCTATTAGTTATATTTATAGTTTGGTTTATTCATTTCTAATGTAATTAATATAAAATATAACTAATAATACAGAAAGAAATCTTAAAGATTACATTTTCCTAAGAAATTATCATCCCCGCTATGAAATCTGTCAAATATTTTACCTCACTGTAATGTGGCGCCGCCCTTGTGGCAGAAAAAGTCGTGGATGCCCTCATTCGTTTGCCTCGCTGCGCTGCTTCAATACGTATTGGTAAACCTCATATTATGTCCTTGGATTATTTTATTTCGTAGACATTTAGACATGCCAGACGTTTTCCTTCACCGCCGACCACGTGGCAATTTAACACTTATGACTGCAATTAACAATTTAATTGGTATCGACAGCGATTGAACCCGGGTTGCTCGCATACTGCGATATTTACAGCGAACCACAGCTCTTACTTCTAAAAAGTTACTACTAAACTACTACCAAATTAAGAAGGGCGACTCTGCAACATACCGAGACACTGACGTTCCTACTTTGTTCATAATAACTATATACAGAGAAAAACATACATTTCTGTAATGGCCAATCGAAATTCTATAGTAACAAATGGCCGTAGATTCTCGACTCTATGATTTATTTCTCTATATGTATACAGCATGTCATAATTTTTAGTCAAAAATAAAACAATATATTTTTTTATGTTTGAGGCACTTCGTTTATTCACAAATTATATACAATATGTACATCTTATAAAAAACATAAATTAATTTTCTTTTTCAAGATTCAGAAACATAATGGGATATAAGTGGCCCAACTTCGATATTCTCTTCTGAATAATTAGACGCAGCGTGTCCGTGTACGTGGCCGGTGGTTTGCATGTAGAAGGGTCACGCCAGTGAAGACCTGGACATATGAAAGGGGTTTGATAATATTAAGAGAACTATAATTTCGGTAGCTACAAGCTTATGGAGTAAAGGCTTATGGTATGCCTAATACATATAATGTCCTCTAGACCACATTTCGGCAACGGCGGCCATTCTACCTGAGCCTAACATAAACTAGCCATGTGCAGGGCAGGATTATAGTGCACGTGTGTGGGTGCAAGCACAGGTGCACTTTCTATTCCCTCACACTCATAGTCTGACGGGACGGCAATCCGACACGACCAGAAAGTTATCGGACGAAGGATCAACGGCTTTTCGGTTCTTTCCGAGACAGGGGTTGGAACACATGGATTCTATCGCGTTTAATTTAACTTTTTAATTCCCGACGTTTCGGGTGTTTCACAGCACCCATGGTCACGGGGTGTAAAACACCCCAAACGTCGGGAATTAAAAAGTTAAATTAAACGCTATAGAATCCGTAAAAATTAGTTTCATTTAATGTATAGTCTTCGCGTAAATATAAGAAATAATTATGTCAACCCTTTTACTGGTAAAAGGGTATTAAATCTTAGTCCACTCAATAAATATATATAATCTTAGTTCAATCTGCATTTTGCATTACATCTACATCTTTTATCATTTGCAGTACATCTACATCCGTAAATTACTATATCATATCGTACTAAATTACTTTATTAAATTTACCTGTAGAATCACATGTAAACAACGCAGGCGATGGCACGTGATCTCTCGTATAATTCCATAGGCAATCCCGTAATACCTGCACGAGCTGAAACAATATTTTAGATAGCAAGTTATCATTAATATCACATATATGAACTTATTTAATTAATAATTAATGTGCACATATACAACATGCATATACACGAACCTAATTATATGTACGTTTAATGTTATGTTTACTATGTAAATATAATAAAAGAAAACATGTGTGCATTTTACATGCGGTAGAAGTGAAATTCAGAAAACTAAACTGTATTATAGTTCGGCCGTTCAGAGAATGCGTTCCTGACACCTATCAGTTAGTCACGACTAGTGATGGGCACAACATAACACTGAGTTCGTTACCGTTCCTCCAAAATGAACCGCCGCGATATTTTTAAGATTATTTTCGTTTTAAATTGGCGGAATCATTTAAAATTTATATTTTAGTAATTTAAGTGGAAAGCAAAAAAAGGTAATATTAATATAATAAAATTGTTTTATTTATTCTTTGTTACAAAGTTACAATCTGTATTTCTATGCAATAAAGTACATTGAATTGAATGTGCGTACAGAATATTAATCAGACTCCGATTCGCTTGAGTCTTCATCATCATCTTCGCCTACATGTATAATTATATTATTATCAATAACAGAATCAATCCTGATATCTCGGTCAAAATGTTCCACAATCAGGTTTTTAGTCTTCTCAACAACCTTTGCCCAGTCATCTCTTGTGACTTCCCCGCAGGCTTCTTTTAATAGGGTCATCATCTTTTTCGTGCTGAATGGCGGGGAAGTATTGTGGCAGGCGGCGTAACCTTTTATTTGAGCCCAGATTAGCTCAATCGCGTTATATTGGCAATGATATGGTGCGAGAACGAGCCGGGTTGGTATCACGACCTCACAGAATACCGGCGTGACGTAGAGGCTCTGCTTCTGCGTTTCGTCTGGTGAGTGCAGGTGGCCGGAGGCCCAATTCCCCCCCCCCCCCCCCCCCATCAACATGGTAACGGAATTACACGACAGACTACCCCAGGAGGGTACCAGTACTCCTGGAGAATCCCTCGCTGAGCATCCACGACCATGTTATTCCAATCCTGAGCGTGGGTGCTCAGGCTGCCCCGCGTATTCTGGGGGGGGCAAAATTCCGCTCAAAAACAAAACTGCTCGAGGCAAACTGAGCAACAATACCAAGGCGACCCCTGCCACGCTATCCGTGAATTTCTGCAACATCAGGGGACTTCACTCTAACCTAAACGCCGTCCACTACCATCTCGAGACGACGAAGCCGGCCTTTCCGGCTCTTTCTGACCGAGACGCAGGTTTCCTCTCCGGCTGATATTTCGTATCTCTCCTACGCGGGGTACAAATTGGAGCACTCCTTTATGCCTCGGGCTGGGGTTTGCGTGTATGTCAGAGAGGACATCTGTTCTCGCCGCCTCGGCAGTCTTGAAGGTTCCTCGCGTCCGCGCGTCTACGGGTGCCTCTATAAGTCCCATAGCGGTAATGCCGAAACGGACCGACTCATCAACCACGTCCAAATGGCTACAGATTCCTTGCTACAACAGGTCCCATCCGCAGAGATCGTGATCCTTGGCGATTTTAACGCCCACCATGCCGAATGGCTCGGTTCACGTTTAACCGATCATGCGGGGAGATCTGTTTATGACTTTGCCTTAGCATATGGTCTGACACAACTGGTTACTTACGCCTACGCGGATTCCAGATGTGGAGGATCATACACCTTCCCTGTTGGACCTTCTGCTGACCTCTCATCCGGACGGATATCAGGTTTCCGTCGATGCCCCTCTCGGCTCTTCGGACCATTGTCTGATCCGGAGTGTGGTGCCACTCACGCTCCCTTCGTGGTTGCGTTTTGCAGGTTGCCGCCGTGTTTGGCATTACAGGTCAGCGGATTGGGGCGGAATGCGGTCTTTCTTTGCATCCTATCCATGGCGAGCGGGTTTGCTTCTCGCCGGATGATCCCAGCGCTGTTGCTGACTCTGTCACTGATGTGGTGCTACAGGGAATGGAACTATTTATTCCATCATCTGTGGTACCCATCGGAGGCAGATCTCAGCCTTGGTTTGGTCGCTCCTGTAAGACTGCATGACTCGGGATGTAAACACCAGCACACTTAAAAAGAAGTATAACTTCGCCTTCAGGTCCTTTAAAAGAGTTATTGCCAAGGCAAAGTCAGAGCACATAGGCAGAATTGGCGAGAAACTAGTTCGCCTTCCTTCGGGAACTCGTGCATTCTGGTCTCTCGCCAAGGCTGTCCAAGGGAATTTCTGTAAGCCATCACTACCATCTTTGCACAGGGAGGACGACTCACTGGCCCAAGACGCAAAAGACAAAGCTGACCTTTTAGGCTCCCTTTTTGCGTCCAACTCGACTCTTGATGACGGGGGGAAAACACCGCCGACCATCCCGCGGTGTGAGTGCTCCATGCCGGATGTGCTGTTTTCACAGCGCTCGGTTTGCAAAGCACTTCTCTCCCTAGACATCCAGAAGTCGAGTGGGCCTGACGGAATCCCCCCAATTGTGCTCAGGACGTGTGCTCCGGAGTTGGCACCGGTCCTAATGCGTCTTTTCCGGTACTCCACTCCCAAGGCGTAGTCCCGAATTCATGGAAGACAGCTTTTGTCCACCCGATCCCTAAAAAAGGCGACCGCTCAGACCCGTCCAATTATAGACCTATCGCGATCACCTCCTTGTCCTCCAAAATAATGGAATCCATTATTAACTGTCAGCTCATCCGGTACCTTGAGGATCACCAGCTGATTAGTGACCGCCAATACGGTTTTCGTCGGGGTCGATCAGATGGTGATCTTCTGGTCTACCTGACCCATAGATGGGCGGAGGCAGTAGAGTCCAAGGGGGAGGCGTTGGCCGTTAGTCTGGACATTGCGAAGGCCTTCGATCGGATTTGGCACAAAGCGCTTCTTTCGAAGCTCCCTTCCTATGGGCTTCTCGAGAAATTGTGCAATTGGATCACCAGCTTCCTTGCAGATCGGAGCATCAAGGTAGTTGTAGACGGTGCATGTTCTGACTACAAGCCTATTAACGCTGGTGTTCCACAAGGCTGTGTGCTATCACCAACGCTGTTTCTTCTGCATATCAATGATATGTTGCTAACTGGTAACATTCATTGCTATGCGGATGACAGCACTGGTGATGCGCGCTATACACCGGCCGTGCCAATATTTCTCGGGAAAACGTCGCCGAGTACCGGAACAAACTTGTGTCTGAAGTCGAGTCTTTGCTGAACGTCTCGGATTGGGGCCGACTAAATCTAGTCTAGTTTAATCCTCAGAAAACACAAGTTTGTGCGTTTACCGCTAAAAAGAACCCCTTTGTCGTATCACCTCAGTTTCAAGGCACTCCCCTTCTTGCCTCAGCCAGTATCGGTATCCTCGGAGTCGACATATCGAGTGACGTGCAGTTTCGTGGTCACTTGGAAGAGAAGGCCAAATTGGCCTCTAAAAAGCTTGGCGTGCTCAGCAGAGCGGGACAGTATTTCATGCCGGCACACCGCCTGCAACTTTACAAGGCGCAGGTTCGGCCTCACATGGAATACTGTTCCCATCTCTGGGCAGGGGCTCCCCAGTGCCAGCTCCTTCCACTTGACCGCATCCAGCGCAGAGCGGCTCGAACAACCTAGCCCTTTCCGATCGGCTCGATTCATTGACACTGCGAAGAGATGTTGCATCCCTTTGCATTTTCTTTCGCATCTACCATGGGGAGTGCTCTGAGGAATTGTTCGGATTAATCCCAGCCGCCAAATTTCACGAACGCACATCGCGGCAGAACTCCCGATACCATCCACACCATCTGGATGATTGGCGGTCCACCACTGTGCGATTTAGAAGATGTTTTCTTCCTCGCACGACTTCTTGTGGAATCGATTACCATGAGCGATTTTTCCGGACCGATACGACTTAGGGACCTTCATGAAAAGAGCGTACTCCTTTTTAAAAGGCCGGCAACGCATCTGCAATTCCCTCCCTGGTGTTGCAGTTGTTCATGGGCGGCGGTAGTCACTTACCATCAGGTGAGCCGCATGCTCGTTTTTTTTTCGTTTCGTCCTATAAAAAAAAAAGACGCGATGACCGTACTCCAGAGCCAGTTCATCGATTTCGTATCGCACATTTGCCGCTTTATTTTCTTTAACTAATTTAATTAGCTCTGGTTTTAGCATCTGCATATTTGCGTCAATGCCTTTTGCTTGTAACCAAGCCACCATTTCTTCTTTTTTATTAACCGGGTAATCAAATAAAAACAGATCGAAAACACTTGAAGAACGTGGTCTATGCGCACGAAACAACAGACGACTGTTTTAGCGTCACAAAATGGCGGCCCATAACGCCATTTGGGGTTACCATTTTCAACCTAAATATAAAAATGCTACTTTCTTTCGCGCGTTCGGTTTGGTCGTAGTTTTATTTTTATATTTAATAAAAGTTATCTTATAGTCCATTATTTTCAAATTCTTAAAAAGAAAAACAAAACGTATTATTTTATAAAGTATAACTGTATAAGAACAGATTACGATACTGTTATTGCCTGTTATTGTTAGCACAGCACTACAAATATAAAGCGATGACATAACCTTGTAATAGCGCAGTATAGATTTAGAAAAATATTGTTTACCAAGTTATTTGACACTCAGTTTGGCACAAAATTATAACATTCATTGATTATTGATATAATAATGTTGTTTTAATACTCATCAATTGTTAAAACGGTAAACAACCAGCAAAAATATTTTTATCGTAACTGCAACGCCATTACAAAATTACGTCGTCAGTTCAATCGCGACGTGTCAGGAACGCATTCTCTGAACGGCCGAACTATAATTACGAGTAAAATTGCTTTGTAATAGTGTCATCTACTTCATTCTCCAGGTAAAGTCGTTTTATCAAACAAAAATTGATTGACCCTCGGGGTGGTAAGTAAAATAGACGCTAGATGGCGTAAACGCAACTAATTTAATATAAATCGATAAGTTATGAAATCGTCGATTGAATACGATAATTTTAGTCAATATGGATGGCGTAAACGCAACTAATTTAATATAAATCGATAAGTTATGAAATCGTCGATTGAATACGATAATTTTAGTCAATATGATTAATCTTGTTTATTTAATACATTTGTTAATTTTTTAACTGTTTCACACAGATACAAATACAAGTTATATAAACATCTTTAATGCATCGCACAAGGAGGAGACCGAGATAATAGGAAACACTTTATTCTGTCTCATTCTCTCGTAGGCCTATCTCCTATAGATGTATATGTTTGTCTCTTTTTAGTGTTGCTTTTTCGTTTAATCGAGTTTCATATCACAACGATTCTAAAGAAGTTTTCACTTTTTTAATGTATTATAAATATTTTTATCGGATATACCTAGTAAATGTTTATTTACCTCACTGGCAGTCAACTCCGGTGCTAGCTCAAGCATGTGGCTCAACGGGTGTGGCAGCAGTTGTCCAAGGGTCATTGTGGTCAATAGTTCACTTAATGCAGCCATTTCGCGTGCGATTTCAGCTGATTGCGTGTGTCGATCTGTTAAATAACATGTTATTGAGTTATTATTGTAAATTATGCTAAGAGAACATCCACTACCCCTTATCGTCCCATGCGTGTCGTAAGAGGCGACAGAGGGAAACTGAAACACGAGATGGGCATCAGCATCTTTCTAACAACTCAAGATAATAAAAAACTGCGGTCACCAACCCGCCTGCCAAGTGCCAATCTACGCGGGAGTCTTATGTTCAGCAGTGGACTTTTAAAGGCTGTAATGGCTGCTATAGATAGATATGTTTTATACTTGTTGTAGTAGTTGTAGGGATAATTTGCCTTATTCGTCATTTTTGGCAGAAGAGTTGACGATCGCTTGCATTACTCAAACCTTTTCTTCTAATGGCACCCACGAGACGAAATGGGGTCATAGATTATCTTACTTTGCCATCACACTGTAAAAAAATATGTGTGCAGTTCACATGCGGTAGAAGTGAAACTTTCAAATAAAATGAAATATAAAATACAAAATATGTCACGGCAAATGATTTCTTTAATAAGATGATTTTCAACCACAAGTTTGACATTATATTTAAAATAAAAGTTTAATTTTATGGCGGATAAATGTTACAATCCCCATTTTCAGACACAATTTTAGTGTTATAAATCAAAAGAATAATTTCTATCGAGTAAAATTCACATTCACTGACAGCTGTCAGATTTATTAGAGTAGGCATTCCAACCAAAAATTTTCAACATTATGGTCACTTGCCCAATCAGTTCAATATATAAATTTGCCAAGGTCAACGAAGAGAATATAGATAGTAGAATCAATTTAAAAAGTTATAGCTGTGTGTGTGTGTGTGTGTGCGGTACGTACCAAGGTGCGCGCGTAGGCGGTGCAGCAGCGTGGCGGCGGCGGCGCGCAGCAGCGCGGACGCGAGGCACAGCGCGGGCCGCGTGTGTGTGTGTGTGTGTGTATGTGTGTGTGCGCGGTACGTACCAAGGTGCGCGCGTAGGCGGTGCAGCAGCGTGGCGGCGGCGGCGCGCAGCAGCGCGGACGCGAGGCACAGCGCGGGCCGCGTGTGTGTGTGTATGTGTGTGTGCGCGGTACGTACCAAGGTGCGCGCGTAGGCGGTGCAGCAGCGTGGCGGCGGCGGCGCGCAGCAGCGCGGACGCGAGGCACAGCGCGGGCCGCGTGTGTGTGTGTGTGTGTGTATGTGTGTGTGCGCGGTACGTACCAAGGTGCGCGCGTAAGCGGTGCAGCAGCGTGGCGGCGGCGGCGCGCAGCAGCGCGGACGCGAGGCACAGCGCGGGCCGCGTGTGTGTGTGTATGTGTGTGTGCGCGGTACGTACCAAGGTGCGCGCGTAGGCGGTGCAGCAGCGTGGCGGCGGCGGCGCGCAGCAGCGCGGACGCGAGGCACAGCGCGGGCCGCGTGTGTGTGTGTGTGTGTGTATGTGTGTGTGCGCGGTACGTACCAAGGTGCGCGCGTAGGCGGTGCAGCAGCGTGGCGGCGGCGGCGCGAAGCAGCGCGGACGCGAGGCACAGCGCGGGCCGCGTGTGTGTGTGTGTGTGTGTATGTGTGTGTGCGCGGTACGTACCAAGGTGCGCGCGTAGGCGGTGCAGCAGCGTGGCGGCGGCGGCGCGCAGCAGCGCGGACGCGAGGCACAGCGCGGGCCGCGTGTGTGTGTGTGTGTGTGTGTATGTGTGTGTGCGCGGTACGTACCAAGGTGCGCGCGTAGGCGGTGCAGCAGCGTGGCGGCGGCGGCGCGCAGCAGCGCGGACGCGAGGCACAGCGCGGGCCGCGTGTGTGTGTGTGTGTGTATGTGTGTGTGCGCGGTACGTACCAAGGTGCGCGCGTAGGCGGTGCAGCAGCGTGGCGGCGGCGGCGCGCAGCAGCGCGGACGCGAGGCACAGAGCGGGCCGCGTGTGTGTGTGTGTGTGTGTGTGTGTATGTGTGTGTGCGCGGTACGTACCAAGGTGCGCGCGTAGGCGGTGCAGCAGCGTGGCACGGCGGCGCGCAGCAGCGCGGACGCGAGGCACAGCGCGGGCCGCGTGTGTGTGTGTGTGTGTGTATGTGTGTGTGCGCGGTACGTACCAAGGTGCGCGCGTAGGCGGTGCAGCAGCGTGGCGGCGGCGGCGCGCAGCAGCGCGGACGCGAGGCACAGCGCGGGCCGCGTGTGTGTGTGTGTGTGTGTGTATGTGTGTGTGCGCGGTACGTACCAAGGTGCGCGCGTAGGCGGTGCAGCAGCGTGGCGGCGGCGGCGCGCAGCAGCGCGGACGCGAGGCACAGCGCGGGCCGCGTGTGTGTGTGTGTGTGTGTATGTGTGTGTGCGCGGTACGTACCAAGGTGCGCGCGTAGGCGGTGCAGCAGCGTGGCGGCGGCGGCGCGCAGCAGCGCGGACGCGAGGCACAGCGCGGGCCGCGTGTGTGTGTGTGTGTGTGTATGTGTGTGTGCGCGGTACGTACCAAGGTGCGCGCGTAGGCGGTGCAGCAGCGTGGCGGCGGCGGCGCGCAGCAGCGCGGACGCGAGGCACAGCGCGGGCCGCGCGTGTGTGTGTATGTGTGTATGTGTGTGTGCGCGGTACGTACCAAGGTGCGCGCGTAGGCGGTGCAGCAGCGTGGCGGCGGCGGCGCGCAGCAGCGCGGACGCGAGGCACAGCGCGGGCCGCGTGTGTGTGTGTGTGTGTGTGTGTATGTGTGTGTGCGCGGTACGTACCAAGGTGCGCGCGTAGGCGGTGCAGCAGCGTGGCGGCGGCGGCGCGCAGCAGCGCGGACGCGAGGCACAGCGCGGGCCGCGTGTGTGTGTGTGTGTGTGTGTATGTGTGTGTGCGCGGTACGTACCAAGGTGCGCGCGTAGGCGGTGCAGCAGCGTGGCGGCGGCGGCGCGCAGCAGCGCGGACGCGAGGCACAGCGCGGGCCGCGTGTGTGTGTGTGTGTGTGTATGTGTGTGTGCGCGGTACGTACCAAGGTGCGCGCGTAGGCGGTGCAGCAGCGTGGCGGCGGCGGCGCGCAGCAGCGCGGACGCGAGGCACAGCGCGGGCCGCGTGTGTGTGTGTGTGTGTGTATGTGTGTGTGCGCGGTACGTACCAAGGTGCGCGCGTAGGCGGTGCAGCAGCGTGGCGGCGGCGGCGCGCAGCAGCGCGGACGCGAGGCACAGCGCGGGCCGCGCGTGTGTGTGTATGTGTGTATGTGTGTGTGCGCGGTACGTACCAAGGTGCGCGCGTAGGCGGTGCAGCAGCGTGGCGGCGGCGGCGCGCAGCAGCGCGGACGCGAGGCACAGCGCGGGCCGCGTGTGTGTGTGTGTGTGTGTGTGTATGTGTGTGTGCGCGGTACGTACCAAGGTGCGCGCGTAGGCGGTGCAGCAGCGTGGCGGCGGCGGCGCGCAGCAGCGCGGACGCGAGGCACAGCGCGGGCCGCGTGTGTGTGTGTGTGTGTGTGTATGTGTGTGTGCGCGGTACGTACCAAGGTGCGCGCGTAGGCGGTGCAGCAGCGTGGCGGCGGCGGCGCGCAGCAGCGCGGACGCGAGGCACAGCGCGGGCCGCGTGTGTGTGTGTGTGTGTGTATGTGTGTGTGCGCGGTACGTACCAAGGTGCGCGCGTAGGCGGTGCAGCAGCGTGGCGGCGGCGGCGCGCAGCAGCGCGGACGCGAGGCACAGCGCGGGCCGCGTGTGTGTGTGTGTGTGTGTATGTGTGTGTGCGCGGTACGTACCAAGGTGCGCGCGTAGGCGGTGCAGCAGCGTGGCGGCGGCGGCGCGCAGCAGCGCGGACGCGAGGCACAGCGCGGGCCGCGTGTGTGTGTGTGTGTGTGTATGTGTGTGTGCGCGGTACGTACCAAGGTGCGCGCGTAGGCGGTGCAGCAGCGTGGCGGCGGCGGCGCGCAGCAGCGCGGACGCGAGGCACAGCGCGGGCCGTGTGTGTGTGTGTGTGTGTGTATGTGTGTGTGCGCGGTACGTACCAAGGTGCGCGCGTAGGCGGTGCAGCAGCGTGGCGGCGGCGGCGCGCAGCAGCGCGGACGCGAGGCACAGCGCGGGCCGCGTGTGTGTGTGTGTGTGTGTATGTGTGTGTGCGCGGTACGTACCAAGGTGCGCGCGTAGGCGGTGCAGCAGCGTGGCGGCGGCGGCGCGCAGCAGCGCGGACGCGAGGCACAGCGCGGGCCGCGTGTGTGTGTGTGTGTGTGTATGTGTGTGTGCGCGGTACGTACCAAGGTGCGCGCGTAGGCGGTGCAGCAGCGTGGCGGCGGCGGCGCGCAGCAGCGCGGACGCGAGGCACAGCGCGGGCCGCGTGTGTGTGTGTGTGTGTGTATGTGTGTGTGCGCGGTACGTACCAAGGTGCGCGCGTAGGCGGTGCAGCAGCGTGGCGGCGGCGGCGCGCAGCAGCGCGGACGCGAGGCACAGCGCGGGCCGCGTGTGTGTGTGTGTGTGTGTGTGTATGTGTGTGTGCGCGGTACGTACCAAGGTGCGCGCGTAGGCGGTGCAGCAGCGTGGCGGCGGCGGCGCGCAGCAGCGCGGACGCGAGGCACAGCGTGGGCCGCGTGTGTGTGTGTGTGTGTGTGTATGTGTGTGTGCGCGGTACGTACCAAGGTGCGCGCGTAGGCGGTGCAGCAGCGTGGCGGCGGCGGCGCGCAGCAGCGCGGACGCGAGGCACAGCGCGGGCCGCGTGTGTGTGTGTGTGTATGTGTGTGTGCGCGGTACGTACCAAGGTGCGCGCGTAGGCGGTGCAGCAGCGTGGCGGCGGCGGCGCGCAGCAGCGCGGACGCGAGGCACAGCGCGGGCCGCGTGTGTGTGTGTGTGTGTGTGTATGTGTGTGTGCGCGGTACGTACCAAGGTGCGCGCGTAGGCGGTGCAGCAGCGTGGCGGCGGCGGCGCGCAGCAGCGCGGACGCGAGGCACAGCGCGGGCCGCGTGTGTGTGTGTGTGTGTGTGTATGTGTGTGTGCGCGGTACGTACCAAGGTGCGCGCGTAGGCGGTGCAGCAGCGTGGCGGCGGCGGCGCGCAGCAGCGCGGACGCGAGGCACAGCGCGGGCCGCGTGTGTGTGTGTGTGTG